TGTAATAGTCAGGAAGGTCAATTTGTAGTAAAGCTGTTCAAGGAAACTATGAAACCCCATATTGTCCAGGTTTAAATAAATAAATATTTAATTTAAACAATTAAAATAATGTAAATTATTCTCTCATCTGACTTCTGATGTGAGCCTGTCAAAGACTTGGACTGCAACAAAGGACCCACTTCACAGTTGTTTTGTGGGGGTTTTAGTTAGCTTGACTTAACCTCTATGTTAGTACTGAAGAGCCTATTTGATGATCATGTTATTTTGAAGTGTATTGGTCTAGCTTGAGGTGACAGGACACACAAGACAGAGTGAAGGCAGATGGGAAAAGTCACAAATACGGGTTTGATTTATTTTTTGAGCCTTTCAAGCCACAACAATGCATACCCAGACACAAAAAAAAAAACCTCCAAACCACCAGTACAAGAAAGATGACATGCAAAGAGTTTTGAGGCTAAGATTATTTATTCAATAATAAAATTATTGGTACTTTCACCCCTGTTCTTAGCATTTTTAGAATGGATCACTTTAACACAAACAACAAAACTGCAAATATTTTCAAGACTGGTCACAGTTTACTTTGTACTGCTTCTTGGGGCTTCCTATCACCACCACTTAGGTGAAGACTAAGCTAAGTGACTCCATATTCAGGTAGGGTTGATCTCTTCCAAGTGTCCTAGACCAAAATCCTGGAACTTATGATTGGGGCCTGAGAGACTCTTCATCAATGTCACACTTCTGCCTTGCATGATAGGAAGCTGGAGAGTGGGTTCCATGCTACTTGTAATTAGGTGAACAAAAGGAGATAATCCATTTTAAATATTTTGTAGGACTGGACAACAGTGGTTTTCTGTTACTTCCATCCAAATACTATTCATTCCTTACATTACGGAGGTAATAATCCTCCTAAGTAGCCATTGGCTTGAGTTTAATCAAAACTTTACTCCTCAGGTGGGATAATATCATTTTCTGCAAGGAGGCACTGACCCAGTCAGCACAGGGGCAGTAACAGCACAAACCACTGAGTTTATTAATTATTTTTTTCCATGTAGTTTGGATGGGCAAGGCCTGCTTAGTACCTAGGTTATAGCACTGCTTCTCAGGAGCTACCTACACACCAGTGACTGAAAGACCAAGAATTTGATCTGGTTATTTTATATTTCCTTTTTCAGTCTGCTGGGTTTGGCAGCATGTTAAACTTTGCTTTCCAAACATAGACACAATGACTGAGTACTAAGAAACTTCCTAATGGTTTTACTTTGTTGAGATATAGGCTTGATTTTGAGCGTGCAAATAAAGCTTTTGAAGTTGTAGAGTATTTGCATGTGACAACATGCATATGCAATGTGCATTATGGAACTGCTAATAATTTTTGTCCAGACCATTTGGATGCCTATTCTAGCATCTGTCATGCATGAAACTCCTCTTACTGACACACTTATGTGGATAATCTGGCATTTAACTCCTGTCTTTGCTGAGTCAGCTGCATATTCCTTTCATGTCTGTTCTAAGGCAATGCGGTGTTCCGTGATTACTTTTATCAATCTCCCTGCACTAAATTTGAGTATACTCACTGAATAAACTGCAATATAAACAAGCTGTTTGGTACGTAGATAAGAAGTGGATCCTTTTAATCCCAAATTGTTATTACTTCAGGCCCCAAATGTGTAATTTAAGGATCAAAGCCTGAATTGCGATCATAAATGCAACTCACTAACAAGGATAAATAAAATCAGGCTGAATCAAAGTGAATCTATAACCATTTCTCTCACATCTTTCAGTGCATTTAATTTAATTTTCTATTTTTCTTTGTTAGGCCTACAAATAGAAAGAGCTTGAGGTGTCAATCAGCTGAACAGGTAAGAGTCAAGTTTTCCATAAGGCTTCAGAATTTCATATTATTCTATTTTTTTTATTCTGTAATACAAGAAAGATTATAATAAATTTATAATATAAGATTATAATTTATTTATCAGATTTTGTTTCAAGTTTCTAGAATCTTCTTTAATTTTGTACATTCTTTTCCACGTGGTCTTTTTTATTTTAGGCAATTTTCATAGTTCTTTTCAGTCACTTATCATATGTTTAACACTTGTTTTCTTTGTTTTAGCTATACAAAACTCCAGGATTATCAATAAAATATTAGTTAATTGATTTTTTTTTAAATCGTACAGTTTGATGTGGATAGTAGTGTTAGGTAGCAGTAAAATACATGGGATAAATCAGCTTAATAAACACTCAAAATATATCGCTCAATTTTGAACACAATTTCTGCATTCTTTCTCCTTCACTTAAATACACACAAGTGCAGATGCATAAAACAAGATAATGTGTGCAAATTTATCAATATTTGAAAAGGAAATATGGGCTCCCAACCTGTAGTTGAATTATATTTTTCTTTCCTGGTAAAGGTTCAATTACTTTTCACAAGGGCTAAAAAGCTAGAAGAAAAATGACAGCTAATACAAACATATTTGCTTGACCACCATTTAGTAAATCCATAAATCTTCTCTTCTTCCTTAGATATTCAGCTCTTTTCAACAGAATAACAAGAAGTAGGTAAGTTACAAAGATAAATTATTCTTTCCAATTTCATATTCTATTTATAGCTTTTTCATTCATTACAGCTTTTAATTTCTTTGGGGTTTGTTGGTTTTCATGCTCCCATGTATTTTTTCAAGAAATAATTTATTGCAATTCAGATTTCTTTCTTTTCAAAATTAGAATCTAATTACTTTCTCAGTAAACAAGAATTCCTCCTTTTTATGTGAAATGAACTACCAGAAAAAGTGATTTCTGATTACATAAGCTAATTTTGAAAAGATTGATAAAATCAAGCCATGAACTAGATGAAGATAACTGTGGAGCTTACCTTATTAAATAACAAATGGAACTGACTTAAGAGACAAGTAATGCAGGAGATACCTAATGCTGAGATATGTTAAACAAGCTCTGCCTTATTTATTTGCTCTATAAATCATAGTTGATTTCCTTAAAAAATGTACTCTAATGATCTAGCTAAAAACGTCACACTTCTGTAAACATGTGCCACTATAACTGTTCCCTGCCTCTTTCCATGGAAACCCCAGCACTCTTTGTAGGAGGGGTTGGGTGTATATGTGTGTGCATGCCTGAGTTTGAAGATATCTAAATATCTAATACAGATACATTGATTGATTGATTGATTGATTGATCGATCGATCAATCTAGGGAGAGAAGGTGTTCATTCAGGATGAAGATTGCAGGAAGACACTTGGTAGCATCATCCTATGGATAAACATTATTTTTTTTAGACTGGGCTTCCCAATAACAAAATTGCAGACTGAAGGCCCTTATTTTCCAGGTAGCACCTTTTATGGACCTGTTGGAAAAATTGTATCAGAGTCATGTGACCTGTATGATATTTTTTCTTTTATTTTCTGTTTACTGTATCTAGTGAACTGTTTCCAGGAAGAGAAAATAAGAAAGGATTTTATTCTTTTTTTCAGTAAAAAGTTGAAGTGGTAGACATTTGAGAAAAAAAAAAAGCATATTACTCCTATTCCTTTATGCTCTGAAAATGATCATATTTATATTTATAAATAAATAATCAAGTCATTATTTAAAATATCCCTGACCATATTCATATTAATTACTTTCCCCTTCCGATGGAAATAATTTTGCAAGGCCAAACTCCAGAAGTCAAGGCTGAACAATATCAGTTTTAGGATTCTAAAAATGTGTACAGTGTAATCAAAATGAAATGTCAAGGGTTTTAGTACAGATATATGATCTTGACTGGGTCTGTTCAGCTTTTTATTCAGCAGTTAAGCAATTGGCAATTTGGTTAGGAAAGATAATATGTCACTGCATAGCCCTGTACTGTGAGTCTGATGGTTTTTGTTTTATTGGAAGCTGGAGAAATTTCACATCAGACATATTTGTCTCACCTTTAAAAAATAGAAATACATTTTCTTTATCTTCCCTTAACAGTAATACTTCATGGGCAATTTTCAAGACAGCAAACTGTAGAGAAACACTAGGTGCAACTATTAAGAAATCAGTTTGACATAATTCTTTAACTGTGCATTGTATGATTGCGTTTTGTATCAAACATCAAATTTTACTGCCATGAAAAATTCAGTTATAATGGCATTTCTTCATCAACTGCCTTCAAACAGAAAGCTGCTGAGAAAAGCAGATGGTACACAGTGGTTTGCTAGGGATCTGGACAAGGTTATAGACAGTCAAGACACATTTCCTTAGCAACCCACAACTATAAAGCTTCATTTTCTTTGGGAATGTGAGGACCTCAATGGTGAACGTTCTCATATGATTTTGTGAATAAATGAAACCAAGGAGTCGATGCAGGGCTTCAGGAGCAGACCCAGGTACCAGGGATGGTTAAGAATACTGTCCTCAGGGCTATCTCTGGTCCCAGTTCAATGTTGTACTGCCAAATTTCTCTGTCTTCTCTGTGCCTTTATCTCTTATCTCTACTTCCTCTTTGTCTTGTGATCTCTGAATGTCTCATTGTCATATGGAAAAAAAACCGCTACAAAAAACTTTCAAGACTCACATAGAGGATTCAGTCCTCTTGGCAATTCTACAGGTTCATTTTCTTTTCCTTGTAGCAGGAAAAAAATGGAAACAGAGTCTGCATCCGTGTAGCCAATCTTGGTTTTGTGTAGCCAGGTTCTTCCTTACAATGAGAGACCAGTGCAGAAGAGTTGTTTTGGGCAGAGATGTGCCAGGCACTATGCCGCAGTGTCCTTCACCTAAATAAATTCTACCATCTCAAGGCTGAAAACTACCTCTTTACAGTCAAGTTGGCATAACATGTCATCACTTATAAATATGATGAAGCATCATCCTCCACTAGTGTAGTATCCAGCTCAAGCATAGGAAATAGCCATCAAAAATGTTTCATTTTAGAAGTCTGATGATGTTTAAAGACACCAGTAGAAAGGTAGCAAATACCATCAGTACTATAACCAGCCAATCACTGGTCTTGAAGGAACAACAGAAGAGTTGTAGGTCTTTCTCTCTTTCTAAAAAATATTATAGATATTTTTTTTAACCAAGGACTACATGTGGTAGCCCTCATGCTGTGACAACATTCAGATTAAACTCCTCTCCTGTGCTCTTACAAACTGTGTCAAACTAGTCCTTCTGTTTGTGCTGCAAAGTTAATTTTTACATAAAGCTTTCATATGAAAAAATAAATAACTTTGTTTTATTTTTCAGCACTTAGGGAACTAATCGGTTGTTAGATTTTTCTCAGTGATTGGTAGCCTGTTTCTAAGCACTACCTATACTAAAACATTTCTATTTACTTTCAGACACTTCCCCTTATTCACTTCCCTCCAAAGATTATACTGCTATAATCCCTCTTATCTCTCACGCCTGTATCTTGAAATCATCCCTAACTGCCTTCTCTCCCTTACTTAGCCAAATTGCACCTTAATACTGATCCAGTCAAACAACTTTGTAGTTTCAATATCTGAAATCTCTGGACTTTTCTATCCTTCTCCAGTCACCAAATCCAGTGCTTCCGGGTGTCTCTTACTAATGCTATTTTGCATGTTGACAGTTACAACCACTCCCTTTTGTTATAGACTCATTCAGTGGTTTGGTTTTGGAAGGGATCATATAGATCCAGCCCCCTGCATTGACACAGACACCTCCTACTAGACCAGGTTGCTCAAAGCCCCATCCAACCTGGCCTTGAACACTTCCAGGGACAGGGCATCCACAACTCCTCTGGGCAACCTGGGCCAGTGTCTCACCAAGCTCATAGTGAGGAATTTCCTTCTAATGTCCAACCTAAATCTCCTCTCTTCCAATTTTAAGCCATTATTCCTTCTCCTATTCCTTTCTCTACTATACCATTTTCCTTTTTCTGTTGGCTCTCTGGAAGTACACTGCCAAAGGAGTATGAGGGGTGCAAGATCATGCTGGGAGGTAAAGCCAAGCCCAGAATATGAACATCTCATTCCTCAGCATAGGGTGTGAGATCGGGTTCATAATATGTAAATATCAATATTTTTTTTAATGTTATTTAATAATATAATTAGGGCCTTACATAATTTTCTATAATTTTTCATCTCCTCTATTATCAGTTTTCCAATAAGGACCTTGTGATTTCCTCTTGAGAGCTTCTACCATACGAGAAATTTCTTCCTCAGATCATTATCTTCCTGGCCTTGTGATTTCTCTTAGAGTACCCACTCCTATCCTATGACTATCCTACTTACTAAGAGAGCTTATTTTTACATAGCTTAGAGTCCTGCATTTCAGAATTCCTTAAAACATCAGAGAACTACTCTGCACTACTGCACAAATGCAGTTACTATTGAGTGCTGTGTGTGTTAGTAAATATGACTGGATCTCATCTTGCCTGCCTGTTCCTGTTCATTCTCATTACTTATGTATTCAGTAAAGTAAAAAAGTAAAAGATTAAATAGTCATCTAAGTTTGAGGAAACACAAGTTTCAGTCAAGATAGTCACTGTATAATTCTGTATGTTTTATCTGTAAGTTGTATTTTCATTTCTCACAGGACATGTTGCCAGAAAAAAGTCTTTTTCTGCCTTTGCATTTCTGAATCAGAACCTCAGTAAACCTCAGCTAATACTCCAGTCAAATGTGACACAATTTAGTAGTTGCTGTAATATTAGTTCTGATTTGAACACCTTTGACTAAGTTTACATGTAGACCAGGGTTTCATATTGCCACAGAGCAGAAGATTTAATGCATTGGCATATTGTCCTCCAAGTTCCAGCTGCCTCAGGACACACACAATGAAATAGGTGGAAAAGGATAGAGACAAGCCTTGGAGCGCAGATTAGATCCTTCCCATGGAAACAGAAAGGGTGATGTGTTGCACTTTTAGCCTGAATGGGTATGACAGACAACTGTGGAAAGACATCTGTGTACAAGAAACATGGTGATGGGAGGGCAAGAACCATCCTGTGGAGGGAAAAAAGTGCCAGAGGCAGGTTGTCAGAGGAACCAGCTGTGATTTCAAACACTTATTGAATCAAATCTCCTCCAGCATAGCCCTGTGATGGAGCCTGGGGACCAGGGAGATCTCTAAGGAATGATAGGGAATGATCTAGCTAGGAGATGATTATGATTTCAAGGCTTGCCTGTGTTTCATTAGAAAGTTGAGTAAAATCAGCACATTTCCACTTCTGTATTGATGAACCAGCGTTTTCTGTAAGAAGATGAATATTTTGTTGACAGTTTTGATGAGCTCTATTTCCAGCATCAAGGGATCTTGTGCTACTTCTCTCTGTCATATCCACTCTGGTCCTTGATGCAGGAATTGTCATCTTTAGTTATATTTGCACATTGCTTTGCAATATTGGCTGGAAGACAAACTACAGCACAAATAGGCATAGAAATCAGGAGACCTAAGATGCTTTCATTTCTGGGCCTATCTAATTGGTAGCCCAGGTTTTCATGACCCCTCTAACAAAGGCTGCCAGAAATCAATACCGTCACATCACGGATCAGCCTGAACAAGTGAACCACATGTAACATTCCAGATTATCTGTGGTGTTGCTCACACAGGAA